AGCAGCATAAATCTGTTTGATGTTTATGTCGCAAGGTTGCCAAAGCAAACAGCACAAACATCTGTCCATAGCATCAGCTGGAAAATACTGCAGATTGGGGAAATATTTTAATTGTGAGCAGTGGTTCACGGAACTCCCCATGTCTTTATTTATTAGGCTGATAATATCACCCCAACATATGAACTTTATGCGGCACATATAAATAATTCATGGATTAGCAAATAAAGAGATCTGGAATCTGTACACAGAGATGGCTGTTGCCAATTATCTCACTTGTGCAGAGCCAGACCTTTCAGCTCCCATCGCTTGCAGCTGCTCTTTTAAATCATTCATCAGTGCTTAAGAGATATGCTGGTGGCGCTGGCAGAGAGTATTTGAATTTTCATTGTTTACACACTGTGAATTTAGCTTCTGGTCTGAAATTATCTGCAACATTGAAGCCTTTGAAAATATAGATGAGAAGAATAAGACAATTCCTCTTTTTATCCTTTTTAAACACTTCTATAATTTTGATTAATTTTTCTTCAATTTTACTTCATATTCTTTTCATAATCGCTACTTTCATTTTAAAGTTATATTAACTGATATAATTCCCTATGCTGTTTAGATCATGAAGACATCAGGAATACTCTGGAGTCTAAAAAGTATTACGAAACAAGTGTCTTGTAAATATTTTCTTCAAGGCTGTAAAATGACTTTACATTTTTATTTTAGGAATCTATACCTTACCTTATATCTAGAGTTGCTTCTTTCCTTTCACATTTAAGCAAAATCCTCTTAGAAATAATAATAACAGATGCCTAAAATTGATGAAAAACCATGGCCAGTGCTTTTTCTTATCAAATTACTGAGGCACTGGGTTTCTGTGCCCATTCAGATCATGATGGGTAGCTCTTCCTGGGTGATAAATTTGCCTGTTGTCCTTACAGCAATATAGCTTAATTTACTTCTTGCATGGATAATTACAGTAATGGTTTTAAAGTCAAAGGCCTTGTGATAAACCCAGACTTTCAGCTCCATTAATTGAAAATCTAATTCATGTAACTAGAGTCTTGTGCAGCATTATTAACCATGCAGCTGTCTGTGATGTACAGAGTGTGATGTACACAGAAGTTCTGTCAATGGATTTTCTCCTTTCTCTTAAGTTATAAATAAGGAAACATCATTTAAGCTTCTGTCAGGATGCTGGAGGCAGGAGAGGGATGTGGAGCCTGCAATGGCATTCAAGCTCACCCCATCCCACTCGGCACAGGGATGCAGAGAGGGATAACAGGAGCCTGTATGGTGACACCGCTAAAAATTTTGATGGAGGTGGCAGGGAGCATCAGTGCCAGGGTTCTCCTTGGGGAGTGTCACTCCTTGGGGAGTGTCACAGCCTGCTTGTACCCACCCCTCTGGGGCAAGAAATCCAATAGCATCATCTTCTCTGTGTCATGGAGAAAGTGGCCTGCCCCTGATTTTGGGAACAGTCATGAGGTTATAAGGTATGAGCTGGGTCTCTCTTACCTTTGCAAATCAGGGCAAAACAGCTCTGTATCTGCTTTACTTTCTTAAAGTGGAGGGAGAACTTTGTGTTTTATCCTTCCAGGAGCACAAGTGAGTTTTACCCTTCAAGGATCCTGCAGGGACCTCCCTTGATCTTTGATGGGATCCCTGCCACTGATGGGATCCCACCACTCCCACGCTCTCAGGGCCCCTGTGAGCAAGAGGCAGAGCAGTCACAAGGTTTCTGAGGAGGGCAGGTAGACACAGGGGGATGGATCATCAGTGCAGGTTAAAGAGCAGAAGCAGCAGAATGTGCTGGGGCTCAGGAGTCCCCATCAAAGCCCCCTTGGATGGGCTCTGGAGGAAGGAGACGTGGAGCAGGGGATGTCCTCGCCCTGCTTCTGTCAGCTCCCAGCAGCTCAGTGAACAAATTAGGTTTCCCTCTCAAGATCCACACATGACAGTGGATGGCATTTAGCAGATGGCATGTGTAATGGGACTGTCACACCAACACAGGTTTAAAAATAAAGCTGGGGAGGCAGTTAATGAATTCTCCTTTCAAGGAATTCTTTCTGTCCCTGTCAGGCATTAGGCACTCAACTTGTGAGTGTTGAAAGACTTCTGGTGTGTGTGCATTAAAAGACAATCTAGCATGTAACTGGGTTGTTTTACTTTAAAAATTTGCATTGAGATAAGCAATTTATGTCATTCCTGAAAATGTGACTTTTTCTTCTTGATGGCTTTCAGCCTGCTCACAAGTGAAATGCATTCTCTAGCTGGAGTGTTATCACTGAGAATATTTAATATTAAGAGTAATCCTTCTCACAGAGATTATTCTACTCTGTAGTTTTCTGTCATTATTGTTTTCCTTGTTTGTTAAAAAATAAAAATTAGGCAAGTCAAAAATTTACTTTTTCAAGTAAACTTGTTAATTTTTTATTATTTTTTAAAATTTCATATTACCTCAAACTGAATATCTTTATGTAGGACTTTGCTTAAGAACATTGATTTGGGGAGATGACACAGTAACAGTAGCAGTAGTTAGTAGAGAAAGACAAGATATATATATAACACAATATATAATACATGTAACTTTTTAAACTACACACTAGAATTTCTCTTCATTTATTAGTTTCTCACGGCCTTTTTAGTGCCAAAAAAAAAAAAATAAAAAAAATTAGAAAATAAAAGGATTATATGCATTGAATTTCTCTCTTTATCCCTTTCTTTTTGTTGGCATTTCAGTGTTAATTAAAGGACTGCTCTAGCTCCAACTGAAGCCATTTGGGAGGATTCCTTTTCTTTTCAGTGGTGATTTTATCATGCCCATGTTTATTAGGTTTGCTGCTTTTCCAACAGTCTGGCTTCTGGGACTGCAGGGAAAAAGCAGGGCAGATTTGTAAATAAATATGGTCAGCATATCAATGTATATCAGCAGGACAAAGGTAAATTCAGCTAAATCCTGGTGACTAAACCTGTTTTCCTTAGTGCATTATAATTTACCTTCCTGCATTCTAAAAGATGATGTTAACAAAAGAACTGGATTGTCACAGGAGGAGATTCTTGATTCCAAGGAAATAAAATCAGGTTGCCATATTAGTCAGCTTAATTATAAATAAAATAATTTTCTGCCTTTTCTCTGTGTAGGTATGGTCTGGATGAAACTGGTGCCCACAAGGGGATGTGGGTTCTTGGCAGCACAGCGAAAACCACTAACACAATTACAGGACCTTAAAGCTTTTCTTTCTCTCAATAACTTATTTATCAGTATGAATGGGTCACAGGAACCTGCTTTTGTTGCCATTTGTGTGCACACTCCCAGTTACAGCATTTCAGGGGAATTTTCTCAGCCAGCCCTTTTGCCATTGCACAAGTGATGATCCCACAGGATTTGTTTGTAGATTGAACAGCCTAAGAAGGCAACTTAAAAGGGTTAAAATTTCAGGGAATATCAGTCTCTTAAAGCTGTCTTACTTTTGAAGCTTAAAGAACATTAGGTTTTTTGATATTCAGTGTTCTGTTTTGGAACCCTCACAACAAGAAAGACATTGAGGTGCTGGGACCTGTCCAGGGAAGGGCCTGGAGCACAAGTCCTGTGAGGAGCAGCTGAGGGAGCTGGGGGTGTTTGGGAGAAGAAAAAACTCAGGGAGATCTTATCACTCTCTACAACCTCCTGAAAGGCTGGTGCAGCCAGGTGGAGTTGATCTCTCCTGCCAAGGAATAAGTGATAGGGCAAGAGGAAATGGCCTCAAGTTTCACCAGGGGAGGTTTAGATTGGGTATTATGAAAAATTGCTTCTGGAAGAGGTTTCCCAGGCATCAGAACAGCGTGGTCAGGGAAGTGATGGAGCCACCACTCCTGGAGCTATTTAAAAGACAAGTAAATGTGGCACTGAGGGACAGGGTTTAGTGGTGGGCTTGGCAGTGCTGGGTTAATGGTTGGACTTGATCATCTTAGAGGTGTTTTCCAACACCTCTAAGACCCATGGTGATTCCAATCTACAAACAGATCTTTGCTGGGCACACAGATTCCCCCAGCTGCTCACACTTGCTGCTGTTGTACCATGTTACATTGTGGGGAAAGTGAAGGAAAGTGAGATATCCACTGTCTCTGAGGTGGAGAATTCACCATTCCATCACTGCAGGGCCACTTTCACCATCCTGAGCAATACTGTCAGGCTCAAGGAAAAAACTACAAACAGGTATGGGAGCAACATGTGAGTGGCTGTCCTGGGTCTGCCCAGCTTGGCCCAGTGTCCTGTCTCCAAGAGCAGTCACCAGATGACAACTGGAAAACAGGGAGAAGGAAGCTGACAACCATAATATGAGCTAGATCTCATGTACTATCCCATTTTTCTTTCAATCAGCCACTTGATGTCTTTCTGAACAAGAAGATGACCCAGATCACTGTGCTAAGGACAAAAACACCCTACAGCACCCTGTGGTTAAAATTGTGGCATCCTGAGTGCTGCAGCATCCTGTGGCAGTGAATTGTGGGTTCACTCATAGTAATGATAATCCTCTTTGTATAACACTGACTGATTTCAATACCCAAATGCTGCATTTTAAGACAGAATATGATGGCCCCTTTTAGTGTGAGAGCCAAGCTGGTGTTTAATTCATTAAGAGAAAATAATATGCAAGACAGCAATATTTATCCATAGCACACAAAATGTAAATGCTTTGTGCTGTGATGTTTGGGTGTCATTAGAATAATTTTAAAGGCAAGTGATTTAATTGTGTTTGTGCTAATTATAATGTTTACAAATTAGGGAAAGATGCATTTAGTGGTCTGTTGGGAAAGAGCTTTGAAACCTCACATGTCTTTGAGTCTACAATACTGTCATCTAGTCATAAACTCTTCCTAACACCAATGTGATTTGCTTTTTAGATTACTCTTGCATGAAAAGCGAGTCTCAAGAGCCTTCAGCTCCATGGAATTCAAAACCAGGTTCACGTGTGTCTGTGTGTGTTTTGACAGAAATTTAACCAAGTTCTTTTCTTCCTCTTTTCAAGGTCCCCGTGTCCCGATGGTGACTGTTCACAACACAACAGATGCACAGAGTAAGGATGGGCTTGAGCTTTGCAACTCTTCAGAGAAAAGCAGCCAGGCAGGACAGTGAGATGTAGCTGCTCTTTGCTAAACTTACACTCCTGGGGACCCCAGACTCTGCCTAAATGCAAGTTTTCTGCAAGGCAGAGGGACTTGCAGAGCTGTTGTGTTGCCATCACAACAGCTGCTGTTTGGGTGAAAAGACTGGTTGGGGCATATTTGTTATCCTCTTTCTCAAAAAAAAAATGCATAATTCAAATCTCTCTTTTTGTTAGACTTCCTCTGATTTTGTTTTGCGTCCCATATATATGAAATAGGATAAGATAAATATAAGAAATACTTAGCCTAATCTGTGGTTTTAATAAAATCACTCTGATATGAATTATCAGAGACAATGCAGTGGAGGGAGCCCCACAAGTGGTGCCTCTGCCTGGTTCCCTGATCTGTCCATGGAGATTGTAGCACTTATTGTTTGGTAAAGCTTTGTCATGCTAATGATTTGCATCTACATCAGGGCAAAGCTGGAATTATTCCAAAAACAGGTTTCTTCCCTCAAAATATTTGACACTCTCTGTAGCCATTAGCAGACTGGCAATGCAGAGTCCAAAAAGCCACGGAGCATCTGGGGTTCCACTCTGGCAGAACAGGGCACTGAGTCTCACATGAAACCAGGATTTATCTGCTCCCATTATTTTGATGGGAAAACATCATCTTTCATTTTAACAAAGAATTTAGCCCAGCCTTAACTGCAGTTAGGGACTTCAGGCACTGATGCGACCCAAGTATAAAGCAACACCTTTATTCTAATTCTGTCTGCTTTATACAGAGTCAATACCAGTCTGTCAAGTGTAAGTTTTACTTATCTGGATTTACAGCAACTCACTGCTCTTGTCTCAAAAGAAAAAAAAAAAAGAGAGCAAGCACTCATACTAAAGATTTACTGTGAAATGCTGACCTGCTTCATTTCCCCCTGAAGGTAGTGAGGGTCACAGGAAAGGTTTTTGGCACCAGGGAGTGTCAGGTCCTTCTTGCCAGCAGAGCCTGAGGCTGGCAGTGCCCTCCCCAAGGATAACCCAAGAGCAGCCCAGCTGATGCCCACAAGGCTCTTCAGCCAGGAGAGTTTCTTCACCATGACCTGCAGCTCCAAAGTCACTTTCTTTCTCCCCCACTTTAAATAAAACACCTTAATTTTGCCATAGACACGGAAGTCTCTGAGTGGCTATACCAGCATGGGATAGTGCTCTCATGAGTGATGTTATTTATATTCTCCTGTATAGTTTTATAAAATACTTTTAGGTGAATAAAATGGCAGACAATATAAAACAGAAACAGTAAATGAAGGGCTTTAAAAACCAGAACAAAACACACCAGGACTAGTTTTCCTTTGACACATGCATATGGGTAGCATCTATTACACAGAAAATTCAGTCTACTTGTGTGCAGAACACATCCTCTACTGAAATTCATGATCTTCTGCATATAATTACCATTCTCCCTGGTTCTTTTCTTTTTTTCCCCCCTCATTCTTTTGCTTTTGAATAAAGGGCAACTGACAGTTGCATGTTACTGAATTTACTTATTTAATATGAGCCCATTACTCTATAAAAGGGAGTCTGCCTCTGTATTCTGCAATAATCTGATAATAGTGAGTTGCACTGAATATTAGAGAATGCTTACATTTAATTAAGCAATGACCATTTGTACTCCACAGACTGAAGCTCCCTGTGGTCCTAAAGCAAAAAGGAAAGTCCTTTAGGAGATATGCCAATCTTTTTATTTCCTCCACAGTCTTCCTGGCTTTCTGTGAATGCAATTATATGAACAAATAAAAGGGCTTGACTAAATTCCCCTACGTGGCAAGCCCCTTTCTGCTGATAAAGCTACTTGTGTGTGCCATAATTAAATGAGAATCTTAATATTTAACTAAACGTAATAGGCTGTTGCTTTGCCACTTTTGTGGGGGCTGTGGCTTTGATAAAGAGCCAGGCTTTGCAGAAGCAGGGTGAACAGTCACTGAACCAATACACTACTGCTGAAAGATCTCTGAAATATATTAACTGGGAAGGGCAAGGTTTTGTCTGCCTGCCCAGCAGAGATGGGCAGTGAGAGCAGGATGATCAGGTACCAGAAAGGTTATCTGAGGAGCTGGGGTTACACGTAAATCTATCAGTGTGTCTCAAAAGGGAAATTACAGTCAGTGACACGCACAAAGTGTGGTGTGAAATGTCATGCCCTCTGTGGGTTCAAGTGGCAGAGATAATGCCCTGGATCCCCCTGGTTCACACCCAGATTGATGCCAGGGGAATGAGCACTCCCTATACCAGGATGCCCTCATCCCAGCCCTCTCCATGGGGCTCAGGAGCTTTGCCCACACATGGAGACATTTCCCACCATGTAAGACACACAACCTGAGGTGTCCCCTAAAGAGGGGCCCTTTCCCTGCCAGCTGGGAAGGATTTTTTTCTTTCTGGGGCTGGAGGAGGCTGCTTTTTCTAGAGCAGGTTCAGCAGGTAGAGCACATGGCCAGGATGAGGGGATAAAAAATCCCAGGAAGGAGGAAGGAATCCTCTATTTGTGAACCAGAGGGCCCTTGGGTCAGACACACAAGCAAAATGAAAAATTTTTGAAACGCTCCAAAAGTCAAAAACCTGCAAAAACCTGCTGCAAAACCTGACCTTGAAGGTTTGTATGGACTTTGTCCACCCTCCTGTCCCCATGGCTTTCCTTCCCATGGATTTTATCTTGCACAGCAGTACAACTTTGCCTGAAGCCCTTCATAGTCTCCTCCCCTTCCTATTTATTATGTATAATTTGGACACAGCCTTGAGGACCTCTTCACTTGAGATCTGTCTTGGCATGCTGGGTGGATGTCTGACTGGAACCTGTGGTAGTGTCCCAACACAGCAGGTCACCTTCCCACCTCCTGCAAATCAGCTGAATGTCCCTGATTTCAGGACTTTAGCTTTTTCCCAATGCAGAACTTGGAAGGGGTTCCAAAGATTTAACTGAATTAAATCTAAATTAGATCTGTGAGGTCTAGAAGAAAAACTGTTTGTAAGGAAACTTGTTTTATATATATCAAGGTGACTATAAAATGTTAAAATGCATTTTCACAAACTGCCAAAATTTTGTGATCTTGTCCTTCTTCTTTCAGAAATTTTTGAGCTGGAGGTAAATGAAAATGTGCAGCTGGCTGTAAATGACAGGCAAATGCCTAAGGTAGAATACATGGAAATCAAGATAGATGATTACAGTAAGTAGCACCTTTCTTCTCACTTATTTTTCTCTTTCACTGCTGTAGCTGTGAAATGAAACAGCCATCCTGACTAGACTGGCAGGAGGAAAAATGACTTTGACTCTCAATAAACTCACACAGTTTGCAAAGCACTCTCCTGGAATGTGCTACATAGTTTATTACAGAGGCAAAATTTGATGAGAATTCAGATGAAGAAAGGCAAAATGATAGAGTTTGATTTTCTTGTTCCTCTTAAAACTTTCTCTGAGAAGAAAAAGCCACTCTAGGAAATGACATGGTGGGGTGCCCCATTGTTGGAAGCTTTTGCCCTGAGTGTGTGTGTGTCATTTGAAATGGTTTGGAGTAGGATAATGTGTGTGCTTGCTGTGGCCCTCTCAGTGCACAATCTGAGCTGCAGTGAATGAAGATGACTCTTGCATGACTGCCCTTTGGAGTCACTCAGGATTCTTTGAAAAAGCCATGGTTTGGGAGGGTTTAAAAAAAAAACAAAAACCAAAAGCTTTATGAGGAAAGACAAAGGAGATTTCACCTGAAGTAAAGAAAGCAGAGACTTAGAGCAGTTTGCACCTGCAGCTGGTGTGTTATTTCTACCACTTCTATAATCATTCCCCACATATATATGTAAATCCCAAAGAGGGAGAGAAAAGCCTGGTGGCAAACAGCCAAAATGTAAGCCTGTCTCTGTAGTTGTACCTGAAACAACCTAAAAATACTCCTCTGGCTGTAAGCAATACCTTCCCCATATGGGGACAATCCACGTACTCAGAGATGCACAAAGGCTACCAAAAATCCCAGCCTGCACTTATGGTAGCAACTCTGGAACAAAACCCCAAAGACTCTGGGTTCGAAGTGTGGCCCATAATGTTTCCCATGCCAGAAGGAATGCATTTCTCAGGCCACCGGCAGTGAAGTGAAAGCAGCAAGCTGTGCTGGGGGCAGGTTACTGATTTCAGCCATTTCCAGGTGTTATAAAATGTGAAGCAAAGGCTGAGAGATGGTTGCCATTCGGAAAGGATAACAATGGCCCTAAAATGTTCTGTGTGCCACATGGGCATAAGGAATATAAACCAGTGCATGAAATAACAGGAACAGACGTGCACTTCCGAGTTTTATGGACAGGAAAGCATGGATAAAGAACCTGTATTTCCCCCATGAGCCAGCTCATGTGAGACTGGCAGTTTATTAGGGATAACTCATCTTGATACTAAATTTTTTTAATGCAGGCCTCATTGCAATTCTTCTCATTTAACCACAAATATACTTGTGTGTAATAAATACAAACTGGCCATTCTGCTGTGCCACCCCTGTGTTTCCAAAGCTTTGGGCTGAGCAGCCTTGGGAACACTGCACGTAGCACTTTGTAATATTTAAAATCAAGCCATGGCCTTTTTGGCTGTCCCTGGGCCATTGATCCAATTTGCAGCTATTAGCATTCAGATGGAATAACTAATTAGGCAGAGTGTCAGGCAACGATTGCAAAGCAAACCACTTAAACCGTGCTGCTAATCTGTGTATTAATCTACTGAAAATGCTCCTAATACCGATTTAATTGCTGAGCCTTTGCTAATCTAGATTGTAGTTAACATTTCAAAAATAAATGTGCTGTCGTTGATGCAGAGAGGATTTTTATGAAGGCAGTTTTGGCTGCTGATACAAAGCCACAAAATGACATTCAGTTAAAAGAAGCTTTATTGATAACATCCCTCCTTTACATTGGTTCTGTACCAGTATAACTTGGGCTTCAGCACCTTTGCCTCCTGTTTGCAACAAAATTTAAGCCTTTGGAAGTTGAGATTAAAATACTTGTTTCTCCCTCTGTCTTCATACCACTATAGCAAAATAATTCTCTTTCTCTCCCCCAGCCACCATACTTAATTGGGTTTTAAATTACCATTTTCATTGCCAATTTTCCTCCTTCTCTGCTGCCCTGAAATATTGATTTCTGTCCCAGTCACTCATCCAGCTGCCAAAAAAGGAAAATTGTAGCTATTGACAGATGTTAATTGAATGCTGTAAAAGTGATGCATGACTGAGCAGCTCGCACTGTACTCCCCATTTACATTTCTTGTCACCTCAGCTATCACAATATGGGTCTTTTCTTTGGCAACATCTGTGTTTCTAAGGTGATATTTGCCACAGCCTCTGAAGAAATGCCATTTTGCTCCTGCTTATCTGTGGCCAGAACACCAGAAAAATCTATTGGAATCATGTCAGCATTTCCACATTGAAGATATGTTGCTATTTGTTCCTTTTTGCTTAGGATTGCCAATGCAGATCTTAAAGCCAGCAACCTTTGCAGACACCGCTCACTACCCCTTGCTGTTGGTTGTGTAAGTTCTCTCTTGTCCTTTCTTTCTGTTCACATTATCAGGGCAGCTTGCAAACCTTGGCCATGATCAGAAACCTTTAAGATATGTTTTGTGCAAGGAATGTCAGAGTCCAGCACACTGGTTCCTGCCCCATCTCACTTCACAGCTGGGAAAGGCCAGATGTACATCCCTTCTTTCCCATGTCTGAGCCAAGGTTTTCAGATCTCAGAAGGGCACCCTGTTGAAATCCTGCAGAATAAATTTGGAATTTTGTGAAGGCATTTCATGCACACTTCAATCACTTGTGGGGCAGAAATGGGAGAAGGAGGAATACAAGATGTATTTTGGCTTCCTGTCCCAGTGCTTAGGGCACCCACCTTGTGATTAACAGGTAATTTTAGAGTGGAATTCAGTCAGCCTTACTACAGCTTAAATTTTAGGTGCCCTCATGCAGAAATCATTCCCTTTTAAGTGCTGGTGTTCGCTGAAGTGACAGTAAGGAGAGAGCTGGAAACCTTTGAATATCTCCACAAAGTTAGCATTTATATTAAATATAATATTAGGAGGTAGGTTTTCCTCCTGGCAGGCAGAGCAGATGGGTATTTCTTTATGCAACATTTAGTAACAATAACACACATTACTGAGTGGGGTTTTTTTGGCAATTTGGAAAGAAACTGCGGGAGGGAATTCACTGACCTTGGAAGAACCTGTTTGGCCCTGGCTGCATCCCAGTGCATCACTTGCTGCCTGCCAGGGAACACGCCATGAGAGAAAAGCCTCGTTCAGGAGGGATGAATGCCTGGTGAATGCCCGTGCCACCCTGCACAACTCTCCATGAAGGACAAAGCCACTGCAGGGAGCGTGTCGTTAAATCGTTAAATTACTGCAGAGAAAACGCGCTTCATTACCAAAGTGCTCGAGGAAGATTGGCTCTCATCAAGCACCCAGCACTTGATTAGGCTGCCCCTGGAGCTGGGTGGGCCAGGGTCTCACTTGGATAAATGCAAATGACTGGAGTCACATGTGCATTAAAGTCCTGCAGTGAAGTGCCTGATGTATCTGAGAAACCCAAAAATGACAAAAAAGTGGATAAAAATGCCAGTGGATTTACAGTAGTCCCAGCCTAAAATTATGAATTGAAGTCATCATCATCATCATCATCATAATCCCTTGTTTTTTCTGAGTTGCCTGGCTGAAGTAGGGTCTGTATCTCTCAATACAGTTCCCCTGTACAGGATCAGACCCTAAGCAGAAGGGTGGAGAGGAGGTCTTGCCCACTCCTTTCCCCTTCTCAATTTTGAGCCAAACTGGGCATTATTAAGCTGTTTTTTATAACTTCAGAGGAGTCCTTTCCCTCTGTAGTTGTGTGAAGCAGTAATGACAGAACCACTTCAGCAGAAATTTAAAAAGAGCTTTGAGGAATGAAGAAAACAGACATTAGACCAGGCATAATAAAAGGAAAACTCAACTGATACCTGGTTACTCACAGGAGCAATCCTGACCAGTTAGAGACGTGCTTGCAGGTGTGGTTCAGCTTAGAGGTGTCGGAACCCAGGACATTCCTCTGTCTGCCCTGGATGATTTGAGACACTGGCATGGGGATCAGAGACATTGGCATGGAGTCAAAAACACCTGTGCCTTTGATTTTAGCCCATGGGGGAAATTACCAGCTTTGTGTGAAGATTTACAAGCCACAAGAGTTTGAGTAGAATGATAGTTAATTTGTCACAGGGTGAAAAAGTAGAATTTTGGGGTTTTAGAATGGGGGTTCAAGAGGCAAGATGGAGGAATCTGGGCATGTCCTGTCCTTTCTTCTCCTTTTCTTGTCCTCCATCTTCTGCTGTGATGGTGGCACTTTTGGATTGGTTGAGAGTAGAGACAGACAGTCTAACATAGGTGATAAGTATTGGAAAATTATTGTAAATAAAGTACACATAGTTCTTAGTATAAAATGTTAACACCACCCCAAGGGAGGACAGTGTGCTGCAACCCAACCTGCTAGACAGATCTCAACAGGTCAGGGAAAGAATGTTATAGATAAGGAAAAATAAACAACCTTAAAAAGGAGAACCAATGAATCTCGACTTCTTCTTTGGTTGAGGGGCTGGGAGAAAAAAGACTTTCTGCTACCTCAGGGTCATCTCAACCTCTGAATCTCAGCACAGAGGCTGCTGTGCACAGAGGGAGGCAGATCCAACCCACAGCTTCCACCCAGCCTCAAAACCCACCCCACACAAACATCCTCCTGCACACCGTCCTTGCAGAAACCTGTGTTCCCTTACCCTGCCCAACGGGGCTGTGAGTGCCCATCCCACGGCAATCCCGCAGCCCTGGGGAGGGCGTTTGGTGCCGTTGCCTTTCCTTGATGCCCGTTTCTGTTCCAGAGATGGCACCCCTGGCAGCCAGATCGTCACGGAGAGGTTCGAGGTGACGTGGGAGAGCGTCATGGTCAGCTCCCACAACGCCATCGTGCTCAAGTTCGACGGCCGCGGCAGCGGCTTCCAGGGCGCCAAGCTACTGCACGAGGTCAAGAGGAGGCTGGGCCTTCTGGAAGAGAAGGATCAGCTGGAAGCTGTCCGGTGAATGGCACTGTTATTGAAGGAATTAATTCTTTATGATAATTAACCCAAGGCTCATTAGTTCTTGTTGCTTTAATGGTGTGTAGGGTAGAGCAGGGAGGTGGGAGGGAGGGACGATGTTCTACAATCACAACTGCACGTGAGAGGGAGCTCATGTCAACCAGAGCAGAGGGAGAAAAACAAGCCTGAAACAGAGCTAAATTAGAGCACACTTATCTGTATCACATGTTCAAAGCCTATTTATTTTTAGCTCTGTACAGTCATACAGCTACAAACAAGTAAGCTTGGATATCTGTTCCTACATTAATCTTCTGCTTGCTTGGTAGTTGGAAAAAATCCATCTTTAAATCCTTAAACTTTTTAAACAGAATAACCAGGGCAAAACCCTAAATGTCAAGTCCTGTCATATTGTTAGATTTATTCTGCACATAATCATGTTAAAACCGCTATCAGAGTATTGCAATAGCTGTGCAATAGCTTATTATGGCCTCCAGAAGTAGCGCAAGTTATTTGTTGCCACTGCTTGGTCAAATCCAATACATGAGGTTGGAAGATTAAATCAGAGAGATCCATGTGAAAGCAGCTTGGCGTGATTTAGATTGTCTGCGTCAAGGGGAAAGGGCTTTAAACTAAAAAGGGGGAGGTTTAGATTAGATATTGGGAAGAAATTCTTAACTGAGAGGGTGTGAGGACTGGCACAGGCTGCCCAGAGAAGCTGTGGATGGCCCATCCCTGTCCAAGGCCAGCTTGGATGGGGCTTGAAGTGACCTGGGATAGTCGAAGGTGTCCCAGCCCAGGGCAGAGAAGTTAGAACTGGATGAGCTTTAAGGTCCCCTTCAACTCAAACTATTCTATGATTTTTTTCTGGGGCTAGTTTAATTTAAAGCTGATTAAAATCACACTGGTTTTGCTCTTGAAGGGAAAAATATTTTTAACCCACTGCTTTTCCTCTCTCATGTTCCAGGACAATGCTGCAGGAGCATTTCATTGATAAAACGAGAGTCGGTGTGTTTGGCAAGGTAATGTTTTGCCATTGCTCCTCCGTGCTGTCCCAGCTGGCTGATATGACTAAACAGCTGAGTTAAACCCTGACTTATTGAATGTATCTGTGGTGATTTTTTTATTATTATTTGGTTTTGGGATAGACTGCACCTTACTCAGTGATGTTAAAGGTGGAGGCTTTCATTTCACCAATGTACTCATCAACGACTCCTTTTAAATTGACTTCCAAGTGCAAAAAGTGACTGTTGCTCAGAAAACCTCATCAGATAGTTCATTTTTTTTCCCCCATTGCAAACTTTCATTTTCACCTTGTCTCCTAAAGCCTGTGGGAATGTGGGTACATCTAACTCATGTGTACAACAACCCTGTGGATTTCTGAGGCTGATTTGCTGTGTGTGCCTGGCTGGAAAACAGCCCCTGTAAAGTACACACAGCTTGAGATGAGAGTGGGACTGTGAGCAGAAATTATTTACTTGGGAGGCAAGGGCTTGGAGTGGGTGGTGAGAGCTGCAGGTAGAGCAGCATCTCTGCAGGGAATTGTTAACAGGCTGGCAGCAGAAGCTGAAATTGTGATGCTCATTTTAAGTAGAGAAAGTCTGTAAGAGAAAGTAAACATTTTGGAGAGGTAACAGATCTGGTTAGAGCTACAGCCATAAAGTGAGATGGAAAAGGCCAGCTCTTGGGCACACAACCCTCCTGCCTCAGGAGGGTGCCAGCCACATCACCAGGAAGATGTCCTTGGTTTGTGTTTCTCCAGTGCAAGGTGTTAAAGGTTCTGTAGTGGCCAAGCATTTGCTGCAAGGTCTCAGCTGCCCTGTTTCTGTACCTAAAAACAGCAGTGCCTCCCAGCAGGGTCACTGATGCCCCTGTCCTGTTTCTGTTCCAGGATTATGGTGGTTACCTCAGCACTTACATGCTTCCAGCTGGTGAAGACAACCAGGTGTTCGCCTGTGGAGCTGCTCTTTCCCCAGTGACAGACTTCAGACTATATGGTAAATCCCATTCCTCAGCCCACAGACCCTCCTGCTGACCACAAGTGATGTTTCTTCCCTATCCTTTCCCACTTGCCATTTTTCTTTTCCAAGATCTTGCTTATTTTATATTCTGTGTCTTTTTAGGAGGAGCCATTAACCCTTTTTCCCCTAAACTAACATTTAGCTGGCACAAGTGGGACCAGCCATGGTAGTCAGAGCAATCAAATCACTTTATTACTCCTTTTAAGTAAAGGAGAATTGTCTTCAAACCCCTTCAGCCTTTGCCACCAACCACCCCCCCCTGCCCTGAACATGCTTCCTTCCTGCCTGAAGCACCCATCCATGCAAGCTGAGGTCCAGTCTGCCTGGCCCATCCTGCCTCTGACCGCAGCACTGCCCTGCCCATGGTGGTCCTTTCTCTCAAGGATAGCAGTTCCCTTTGCACTTAGTGCCAGTGAAAATCTGGGGGCTGCCAGGGAAGTCAGTGGTGTTCAGCCAGACTTCAGGAGCTGTGCACTTATCCCTGAGGTCAAAGGAAACTTGCTGCTGATGGAGAAGGCCTGTGTGAAGGGAGAAAGGGAAACAACCTCAGTTGCATTAACAAAGAAAAAAAAAAGGTTTTTCTGTGACTTATTTAGAGACCAGAAGTACATGGTGACAATGACAGACTGTGGTATCACACATATCCTTAGTGCATTTTCAAAAACTTTTAGAAATGCATCCTCTATAATTGAGGCCATGTTAGGAAATATGGTTTTTAGCATTTGCCATATTTGACTCAGAAGCACCAGTGTATTCATGACTGAAAGTGATATTTTCTTTTTTTCTCTTCAAGCTTCAGCCTTTTCTGAAAGATACTTGGGCTTGCACGGGGTTGATAACAGAGCATACGAGGTAACTGCATGGACACTGCATTTCCCTGATAAAATGTGAACTGGGTCTGAACCCTCCCTCCATGTGCTCTCCTTTGAGGAGGAAGCAAGGTTATGCAAGAGGGACTCACTAGTGGAGCTCTGAAGGTGTCCTTCAGCCTGTTTACTGCTTTTCTTGTCTTAATAGTAATCATGGATAAAGTTTTTATTGATTAGCCCTTGTGTCTGCCTCTATAAATTGGGTAAATACAGTTTTAGAGATTGAAGGAGCTGAGTGACTCAAATGTGCCCAAGGGGACACACTGTCATGACCTCCTGGAAAGTTCTTGCCAATGGTCTTGCCACTTTGATTCTCTCAGAGGTAAACAAATTCAAGTGAAACTCAGCTTGACTTTCTCAAACTTTGTGATATTTCAGATAGGCAGAACTCTGCTCCAGAACTGAGCAGGACATGGAAAAGAAAATACAGCACCAGTTAATAAAGACACTGCTTAATACACATCATGAGATCAGTTGGATCCTGTGCTGAAATTACTTGGAGACAAAACCTGATAAAGAATAGTCACACAAACAAAATTAGTTATAGAGAGAATCTAGTTCAGCTTCTAAGCCGTGTCTCCAGCTAGAAGACATGAAGGTAGCAAAGGTCTGGCACTGTTCTCACAGAGAAAGCAAATACCACCACTTCCCTCACAAGGGAAGATTTATCCTGGCTACCTAAACTCTGAGCTCATTGTCTCTCAAATTTTGCACTCACAATCTCTACATTAGTGCAGATGCTTTTTGTTCTTTTAGAAATTGTATTTATATTCCCTTGTGCATCTGAAAGACAGCTGAGGACAAAGGTGTTCTCAACAGTGGACGCTTGAGTTTCATGTCAGATCATACCCCAAGCTGCCAGAACTTATTGAGGTTGGCTTTCAAAATACACCAAAGACCCTCCAGATCCATGAAGTGTTATTAGGCATAGGCACCTGGGCACACTTTTCATCAGTTTTTTATTCCCTTTGATATTTTCCATGTATTCTACAGTTCAGGCTTTTATTGAACATTATCAGAACAGGGGAGGGTCTCTGACATGTTCCTGCTGCTGACACTGCCCTGCCAGCACAGGGTGGGGGTCTATTTTATCTCTAGATTTATATAAGTAGCCAGTAGAATATGCTTGTTATCCTGGGGATAAAACATTAAATGGAAATAAGCACTTCTATTGCCTCCATATAAATTGCTAATTTCTAACAAGTTTTTAAATCTTATTTCAACCTTTACCTTCACAGATCAGCAAATTATCACACAGAGTCTCATTACTAAAGGACCAGACATTTTTGATCATTCATGCTACTGCTGATGGTAAGTTAGCCCATCATTTGAGCTCATTATATGTTTGTGATAGCTTTGATTTTTGTTAATTAAATTTGTCTCTTTAATGATTACAATCTGTTTTTACAGAAAAAATCCATTTTCAGCATACTACAGACCTTATCACACACCTAATTAGGGCAAAGGCTAATTACAGCTTGCAGGTACAGTATATGTTTCTTTTTTTCTATTTGAACAGTTATTTCCCTTTTTGAACTCAAGTTGCTGTTATGAAGCAAGGTTTGAAAAACCATTTGCAAACTCAGCCTGGCAGTAAAAGTAGCACCAACATATAACATGTTTCTACTAGTCCCATGCTTATGTGACATCAGTGTTTTGGTCTGGACACTTGTAGAACAATTATTGAATTACAGTAAATTAGCTTGTGAGAGACATTTCCCTAAGGAATTCATGCATGTTAACTTTCTTTGGGAACCAAAATCCAAATGAATTTCAAGGAAACAGGGTTTTAAATTAAATCAACCAGAAAAGTTACAGATATATGTCACCTAAATCTGACATCCCACTGGGAATGGCACAGCTCCACTTTCCACCAAATCATATCTCTGTTTTGCTGAATGCTCCATGTCTAAGCCATTAAGTCTTTCAAAATCAACCCACCCCAGCATCCCTGCCTGGACAACCCATTATGATCCTTTTGCATTTCTTCAAGTTACCTGCTCCATTTAAATGAAAAGTCGGGTTTAAACTATTTAATTTCTCGCTTCACTTTTTTTTTTTTTCAATTTAAATACTTCTCCAGCAATACTTATTAATTTTTGAACTTAATGACATTTTTGCTTTAGAGCCCTCATTTTAGTCAGTATAACCTAATGCCATTTCTCTCCAAAACTGAGTGTTTTTTGGTTTTCACAAGGAAAGTGTAGACTGAACCTGTTCAGAACAGAATTAAATGGAAAACCCTCCACCTCAAAAAAAGTTCCTTGTGAAGGAAGATGCAGGTCTGAACTCAGAGCACTGTGGTGCCCAAATTACCCTGGGCTCATGAGCATCCATGGGAAGCTCTACAATGCTGAGGAGATGCAGTGGGTTTGCAGCTCAAGCTGCAGGTGTGGGTGGTCAGTCCTGAGACTTCCAGCTCTAAAAGGTGTGTATTTACCTGTTTCTTTGCAGATTTACCCTGATCAAAGCCATTACTTCAGCAATGCAGCATTTGAGCAGCACTTGTACCAGTCCATTGTCAACTTCTTTGTGGAGTGTTTCCAGGTTCCAGACAAACTCCCACTGGCCCCACTGAAAGAGGAGGAGGAGGATGATTAACCCTACTTGTCCGTGCCAAGCACAAGGCAAATCTCTCTGACAATATGCAACTGGATCATTTTCCTGAAGAAAGAGATGTTGTTAGCATGTATTTAAAAAAAAAAAAAAAAAAAAAAAAAACAAACTGAAAGCAGCTCCTCTGCTTTACTTGACAGCAACTCCTTCCTAAATGGAAGAACATTAAGCATGGTGAACTCAGCAGAAACTGCTGTCTGAAATAAATCCATCACAACCAACATCTTCTTTTTCTTTAGTTCGGTTTTTTTCTTTTTTTCTTCCTTTTTTTTTCTTCTTTTTTTTTTTTTTCGTTTGCCACGAAATTACTTCTAGAGTGAAAATGGTAACACATTGAACTTGAAGGAACACCCCAAGAAACCGCTTTGAGGACTGGAAGATTTGATGTCTCTTTGCAGTCAAGCAGTAGCAGTGAAATCCATCATCCACATTAAGGTTGCTATAGTTAGCATCACGCTGTGTCAGAACAAAAAAATCTACTCTAATACACGGAGAAGATTATAGCACAATTATTTTGAAGGATACAGATTCATACACTTGCCTGCTCTTTTCCTTCTCCAGGAGGTTTGTCGTTGCTACAGGATACACAAACCCAGTTGTGCAAAATATCACTACAGCTACACCGATCTTTACCTCCCTGCAATTATTTGTTAATTCTGTATGGCTTTTACTTCTGTTGTTCATTGGGTCTCATGCTTACTTTATTAGCTTCTCAGCTTGTTCTGGATGGGGAAAAAACATAAAACAAATTAACCAACTCAATTTAGACCTCAGGGGTCTAATGAGGCAGTGGGACTTGAGCTACCCAGATATTAAAAGATCTATTGGAATAAAGCAGAGAAAAACTCACTCTTGAGTTCCCAAAATAGCTCCTGCCAGCAAGATTGAATATTTTCTTTGGCAGCCTTGAAAAATATGCACATAAATAAGCTAAATCAGCTTACATTGAGATATTTTTTATTGCAATGTAGAAAAATATGCGACAGTCATGATTATTCTTTCTTACAGTTGGAACAAATGGTTGGTAACCTGCTAGGGAATAGCTAGGTGAGGTATGGTACAGGAATTTGTACCAGAGACTTCACCCATCATCTTATAAAGCCATTTAAACAGAGACAATGTGCAGAGATTTATTGCACATGCTGTCTGTGGCTTAGTTTTATTCCAGGTCAATGATTAGCATATTCCAAACACATTTAATTGTCTCTTCTGTTCACACTGGTTTTGACCAACCATAAAAGGAAAAAAAAAAAAAAAACAAAAGGAGGCTTTTTTATTTTTAAAGGTCTAACTGTTCATTTGAGCAGTGGAAAGCAACTTTTAAAACTTCTTGTGGAAACATTCAGCTTTCAGAAAGGAATCCAGCCTCCATCCACTTCCACATACTGTGTCATAAGAATTTTGACAGTGTCGCTCCTTGTAAAATATTCTGACCAAATGTACAGCCAGTATTAATACTGTATATTTCATTTTGTTGTATATAAAGGAATGTAAGTCAGCTCTTTGTCAGATCCCCACTCCAATATTAGTCTTGTGTTCGACATGCATGCGGTAACACTTCTTTGCTGATCAGGACTCCTTAGAAGCACTAGCTTGGAAATATAACAATTAATGTAATTTCTTTTCTTGTTTTAACAGCTTGAATGTCAATGCCGGTTCCTACTTTTTACATAGTACTGTGGGTAAACTCACATCCTGACAGCAATGATGATGTTTCCATTGTGTTCTTTAGTGTGTCTTTTTTCTTACCTTTATTTTAAGCTTTGAATGTTGGTTGTACTTTGACCATCATGAAAAAATATACTGATAAACCACAGGAATTACCTAGTTTGGTTGGGATTATCTCCTTTAATTTACAGTGCATCGACATTGTGTGAACAAGAACTACGGTGTAAATCTGCTTTATCTGGCAAAATGCCAAATAGACCATGAGAATGCTGCGTGTCCAGATTTTGCTACGCTGAACAGGCTCGAGAGCCTGAAATGAACTTGAACTGAGAAACGTAAAAATCTGCTCTGTCCACAATCTTTTTGTAGAAAGAACTTTAGGATGTGGCATGGTAGTGTTTGTTCATTCATGGAATAAAACATTATTTTACCACCCTGGTTGCTACTGCTGTTATTTTGTGTTAAATTACTAAATAAGCATTGTGTTTCTGGAAGTGCTATTTCTGGTTGAATTGAGCCCAAACTGGCATGTGCTGATTTGCTGCACATCATCAGTGCCAGGGTGTTGTCCCATCAGCTGACACCCTCTAGACCAAACCAGATTTAGAAGAAGAGAAAATTAATATTTCAAAGCAAAACCAAGAAATTATTGAGGACACTTACTCCAGTCTTTTTTTCCAGCAGATCAGGAAACAAGAAAATGGAGCACTGGGACAGGGAAGGACAGATTGCAACAGTACAAAATAGCTTTGCTGTTATTTTGTTCAATTATCTAAATGCAACTATTATTTTTTTTATTGTCCAAACAAATGAAGCTTATACTCTCAGCTCCCTGGTATATCTGGATGCCATAATGTTCAACTGTGGCATCCCAAAGAGGAAGAGAGCTAATGAGCAGTGCCCTACTAATTCAGAAGGAAACCACAGAGGGAAAAATGAAGCATTGCTGGTAGCTAATTAACAAAGCCAGGCAGCCAGACACGTTTGACATTTTCTGTGGGTTCAGGCATAGAGTTTATAAACCTATCCAAACTCTGCTTACAAGCTCAAGCCAAATAAACACTGCTTCTCTGAAGGGTGGGAAGGAAAAAAATTGAGCAAGAAAGGGTATGTGGGATGTTGCCATGGGAAGACCAGTAGAGCCTGCTGTTTGCAATGGGGAAAAATGACATTTAGTGGGGGAGACCAAAGGTACAAGGCCAGTGCTGGTACCTGGGACGTGCTCCTGCATTTGCTGTCATGCCCATGTTGTCCCAAACCTCACTCAGGTTGGCAGTGTCCAGGCTCTGGATGTTTTAACTTTGCTTGTTGGGTCTCAGGGCGCATCTGCCCTGCAGCCATTCCTGGGGCTGGCACAGAGCTGCCAGACCTGCCTGCCTGAGGGCTGGGCTGAGGACAACTTTCTTCCTTGACCTGAGTGAATGCTGGCTCCTCGTGGTGCTCATTCCCCTCTGGACGTCTTACCTGCTTTCCACAGGCAAATGAAGAGTAAATGGCAGAAATGGAAAAGATAACAGAAAAAGCTCAAGATCTCAGTTGCCAACTCCTTAATCTTGTTGTCTTACTGGGCCCAATGTTTGCTTATTTTTATTCTGCTCTCTAAAGTAAAGCTCCCAGCTGGAGGCTCAGAGTGGAGCTTAGAGCATGCTAAGATCTGCCTCCTCTTCCCACTTCATCTTTCCAACTTCTCCCCATTCAGCATGGTTACAGAAAGCAAACGCAGCAGCCCTTTGGAAACTAGGAAGAGACAAATATAAAACCAGATTGCTGAGCCCCCTCAATAAGGCATAACCAAAATAAACTCTTTATTCTAATAGCTAATGCATGATGAATTTTTTTTCTTTTTTTTGCTTTTTGCTTTGAGACATTCATGAAAAGTCTCAGATTAAATGATGCTACATTCTGCCTCCTCACTGGAAGAACAGCTTTAATCAAGATGTCCATTTCCATGACTGAGCAAAGAAAAGTAAAAAGCAAATACAGATGGAACAAGGCCCCAGGAAGGCACAAAAGTAAACCATGCTCCAATATTCCTGTGGAATAGCAAGGTTCCCTCCAGGCTGTTTTGGTTTGTTTTTTTTTTTTTTTTTTCATCCTTCACTTTAAATCTATCTTCTGGGTCATTTTAAAGCAAGAAACAACTCTCTGAGCTGATACAAATGCTCTCATCCTTGCTGGGAAAGGAATCCTTGCAGCGGTAACAGCTGTTGTCAATGTCCTGAACTGCAGTTTGTGCTGAGCAGTTCCAGTAACTTGAACTGACATGCAATTTCCAGTGAGTATTTGGAACCTGCCTGCAGGAAATCCTGAGCACCTGCTCCCTACCACCTTGTTTGGGAGCACTCAAAGTGAGGCTCAGTCCTTTACCCAGAGCAAAGCATGAAGGAAAATCCTCTGCTCTGAAACACCACAGGAAAAGATGCAGAGAGTCAAAAGCTCAGGTTCTGGCTGTGCCAGCTCCTGGCTGACTTTTGTTCCCTGTAATTCCCATTTGAATGTGCAGAAAGCAGGGAACTGAGGAGGTTGTTTTGCCTGTACTCAGCTCCTTTGTCATCAGAGCAATGCTGCCACCACGGGAGCCATGGCACACATGGGGAAACGTGGCCACCACGGGAGGCTGGCACGTGATGCCGAAAGTTTGTCACCTATTAAAAAGTTGCAGAGCAAAGGGGAAATAAGCCCAGAGGTGGGATAGCCCATCCTGAGACACAGCCCCTCCTCTGACACGGTTTGGGTCATGCCCATGAGAAACAGAGAGACTCTCCAGACATTTTCAGTCTGTGCTCTAAGGCCGGTGCCAAAAAGGAGATGAGAAAAGCAAGACTAACACATTAAACATAAATTTCCTAGCTATCAAGCCTCTGTGGGAAATCTGTAGGAGTCTAGAACTCAATGTGAGCTGAAGACAGCTGAGATCTGTCTCCCAGCTCTTCCTTGGCACTGCTCATCAGAGCCAGCACCCCCAGAGCTGCCAGGAGCAAGAACACACACACCCATGATGATGCTGAGAGTTGCTGGGGGGTAACAGATACGGGCACATTCTCACCCAAAAGCCACCAGCCGTGCCTGCAATTTTATCCTGCACCTTGTGCTGGTGGAAGTTAATGGTCACTGAGGAAATTAGCACTGGGATGTAAGCAGCAAGCACACGTCTGCAGGTGTGCTGACAGACAGAGAGGGGCTGGAGCCACGACAGCAGCAGAAATCACTGCTGCAGGACTATCAGTACCAGAGCTGGTGATAAGGTTTTTGTCAGATGATGGTGATGAAGGTGTTGTGAGGGACAGGAGCAAACAGTGTCCCAGCTCTGAGTGAAA